AAATAAGCATACCATAGACAGTAAAGTTAAATCATTCCACCAAAGACGAAGGAAGGACAGAGAGTATCTGCAACACACACAAAGAAAAACACAGTACCTCTCCCACATTTCTGTAATGGACAAGAACAATGTGCTGTAAATGCCTGAAAATCAAGAAAAGGAATGAGAAAAGTGAGACGAATATGCAAACAAAGGAAAACAGAAGATACTAATTGCACAAAAAAAAATGTTATTGCATTTCTTGAACATAACTGCAACCCAACCTTCCTCTTTGAAGTGTATACTGAGAACACAGAAATTTAAATATCCTAATTTGCAGCTTCAAACAGACTTTTAGAAAACCATAATCTAGGCTATCAGAGATTTTCCACCCAAAGACCGAACTTTGATTTTGCAGGCTTTTTAAATTAAATGTTTAGTCCTCAAGACCAGAAAACTCACATGTCAAGCATCCAATAACTCCGCCGTTGAAAATTTGAATTGTCCTCCCCATGGGCATAGTAACAATGAAGAACGTCTACACTGCCAGCCTACAAAATGTCAAAAACCCAATAGAAAGCTAAATATTAAGCAGTACCAATATAGGCCAATATAATTGAAGTGACTTAATATTACGGAAGAAATTTTCCAATGTACCAAAATGGAAAAGGTCAAATCATAGCTAGTGTTAACAAAGAGCTTAAACATAAAAGATTTGAGCACCAGAAATACAAATTTAGTGATATTGAAGAAGATATAGGGAGAAGAAACAAAAGAATCTATTTTACATTACAAACCTACCAAAAAACAAATTAAATAAAAAAGAATGTCAAAACATGGGGATAAAAGAACCTTAATGGCCATTGGCTGCCAAAGTGGATAGAATCAACAAATTTACCATTTAGGAAACATTTGCAACACCCAGCACTGGATTTCATAAAGTATGCGTGCAAATGTATATTCTATATGAGTTCTCTTTACATAAAAACTAAAGATGGTCAAGTAATCCAGAATTAATATATTAAAGGGACATTCAACGGTCAAAAGACTCTGAACTGTTGAAAAGCATTAAAATCATAGCATATGACCTTATATGCTCTGCTTACCTTGATCCTTTACATTGACAATCTAGAAAGAGACATCATAAAATTACAATAAGTTCAATTCTGTGCTTACCATCCTTACACCCACAAAATGAACTATGAAAACTTACAGGCACCTATTGTGATCCATCACTTCTGTGGTATCTGTGTTGCCTGTCAAACTATGACCCCCTAAAGACAGATGATACAGGTACAAAAGACAATAACCAGACAACAACTCAACTCCATCGCTTAGGACCAACCCCTAAAGGTGTACTTACTAATAATAGATTGAACAGCACACCTTCAACTTTTCATGGGCTTCTTTGACAGTCTTTCCATCCTTTTTCTTCCTCCAGCGGTGACCATCTTTACGAAAATACCGGAGTGCTTTTCGATCAAACAGGAACAAAGAACCAGCTGGAAAAATGAACATTTAGATTCCATTTGCATGTACCAAGGAAGAATGTCAGTGATCCATCTCTGTCAAAAGGATAATAGTGTACTATTGATTTTTCAGCTGAAGTAACAAGTGCACGAGTAAAGAAACATCATTTCGGATGATTCTGGGCATAGAATGGGAAAAGGATAAGCAAATAATTAAGTGATATAATTTAATAAATGACATGTGTTTGTGTGTATATATACCTACAGTATATGCAAATGAAAAACAGAACATATCAGTCCAACTGTTCCACATCTTAACCCATATCAAATAATAATCATTAAACAAATCAATATCCCTTTCATATCAAATATACCACATGTCAAATCATTAAAATTAACCATAGCAATTAGTGAGTACTTTGAACATAATTGTGAATTTCTTGCAGAGAGTTTTGTAACACCTAGCCATCAAGAGAAAATAACGCACATGGAAACCCCAGGGGAAAACAAAGAAAGAAAAGTTTCATGCACCAAAAAATAGTTGTTATGGCAATTTCTGTCCCTCATATTCTACAAGTAAATGAAGCTCACCTCCCAAAAATTAATAAACAGACTTCCTACTGAATTAGAAAAATAATTCAATTTACAGAAAAAGTATAACAGCAAAACTAAAGGAAGATGGAATTAACAAATTCAGACAGAACACACAGTGATCAAGCACATATAAACCAAATGTAGTAATTCAGAAAAATATGCCAAGTACAACCTGGAGGCCTGACGGGCGGATCTGCGGTTAACTCAAAATTCTGAAAGTTGCGAAGTATTTCACAAATTTCAGCTGGCCGGAGCCAACGCTCCTTGGCTTCTTGCAATATCTGGGGAAGGTCTGCCAAATTCCCAAAAGTACCAAAAGGTTTAAAGATCTTGAAACTAAAATACACAAAATGAGTACGGGGAAGAATAAAAGTCGGAGCAAATACGTAGACACTTTCAGTATCACAATTTGGTGAAAAAAACAGTAGATGAACCTCAATGCACTTACAATGCATTATGCAATATGGGCCCTATATTACTTCAGTGTTCAAAATAACATTCCTTTCTAGGATTATTAACTCAGTTAATGCATACAAACAAATTCTTGCATCAACAGGAAACCACCGGCGATGACAAAAGGGAAGTGAGAGTAATACACGAATGCATGAAGTGTTAATCAAATGATCACACAAAATTATTATTTCCACGAAAAAAATCATACCATTCTTGACAAGAAGACTACTACCGAGTGAGAAAACAAAACGAAATTTGAAGAATCCGATTTGAAATCCGAGAAATATAAAAAATAAAAATAAAAAATAAAAAAACGCGTTTGATATGGAAAAGAAAATATATATATACAACATACACATATGTGGAATGAGAAGAGGGAGAGAAAGCTGACCTAGTTGCTGAGTGGGGAGGTATTTTCTGGTATCAGCCATGGGCGACCAATGACGACCTCACATAAACCCTAGATTTCATGAGCGAGGGACTGTGATTACCACCAATCCACAGAACAAAACGCAAAAAGCAAAATACAAGTCCAGGAATTACAAAGATCATCAACAAAATATTCACTCTGTTCATAAATAAAACGACCATAAAATCGAAAAAAATAACCAAAAAGAAATGAGAAATGCTTTCAGGCAATCAGTCTCCACAGAGAGAGCGAGAGAGCTGGGGAAGGAGGTTTCGGTTGAAGAAACGTACCTTTTAGAGAGAGCGAGAGAGAGATAGAGGGAGGGAGGGGGAGAGAGGGAAAGCGAAGCGTGTGAAAAGCACTAAAAAGTAAATAAATAAATAATAAAAAAGAATTGATTGAGAGGGATTGAATGAAGTCAATAATATGTAAATGCTTTGTGTTTACACTGATTCAGCGAAACAGATTCCATTTTATAATCCGACGTGGCACGTCGTCTTCCTTTTATGCCAGCTAAGCTTGCATCGCGTCCTATTTATTTTTATTTTTAATTGTAGCCGAGATTCCTGTAAATTTATTTAATTTTATTTAAGCAGATTAAATTGAAAATCGAATATGCTTTATTTATGGTAACTTTATTTTTCTGATTTTTTGAGTCTTCTCATTGTGATTTTGTTTTTCTGGGTTTTGAGGAAAATTGAGGAAGTTAGTTACCATTCAGAAAAGATGCAGTCGTGGCATTTCTGACTCATCTCCCGCTGTTACTTGATCTTGGTTTGGTCAGATCTAATTAATTGTATCACAAACAATGACTTGATAGTAATTTGATTTGCTTATTAATCACGACTGTTCAAATCAATTTCGAGATTTTTATTTATTTTCATAAAGTGAGGGGTTTCGAACTTGGACATATTCTAATTTCGAAAAATATGCAATTAGACTAACTAATAGCAGTTGATAAATTAATCTGAGATTGATCACCTTCATCCGTACACAAGCAAATCATGAAAAAGAAAAAAAAAAATCTAAGAATTCATATAATATAGACATATGAAGAAAGAAAGAAGTCACTTTTTGAGATCTCTAGTCTGCAAGTCAATGACCTATTCCATTAGGATAGACCACATTGGCTCTTCATTTAGTATGGGTTTATGATGTCATAATTATATTTGAAAAAAAGTCATGATCAAGTTCTTCATGTGCGTTGGTTTGATATATTGCTTACTAGGTGATTCTAATGTATTAAATTTGTATTATGTGTTCAACTCCCTATGGTACTGTGTGTATGAGTTTCCCCCCCTCTCCTCCTTAACTTTGACAAAAATACAAAAAGAAAATAGTAATTTTCAACCAATAAAATGGTAATTCTTTTTTACTTTCTTTTTTTTATATAAAAAAGTATGCTTTACTATTGGAACCTGTTGATTGTGGAATGAAATATCCTACTCCTAAAAATAGAAATATCCCATTGGAACCTGTTGATTATGGATTGAAGAATGATTGTATTATTTTTGGACCACAGAACTTGTGGGAGGGTCGCTTCCTCATTAATTTGAATTTCTTCACATGGGTTATTACATGCTCTTACTTGTAGGTTACAAACCAACAAGTCTTAAAGCACCACCAAAAAAAAGAAAAAAAAGAAAAAAAGAACAATTCACTGTCAATTCCGTCAGAAATTTCAGAAGTCACTGAAGGGCAATGTATAGATCATATCACAAGCCAATGAGTGCCATAAATTCCACCAGCCACCGACTGCACGTTGCAGAAGTTACAGAATAGGGCAGTGATGGATGCCTGTCCTGCTAAGTTAGTTTTTCTCACTTTTGCGAACCGATAAGTTATCTCGAGTAAGAAAGATTCCAACCAACAAATTTACCGTCATACTAGCTGGAAGAGTATTTCTGCTCATGATTGGTAGCAGAGGAGAAGGGTTGGATTGGAAAACTTACCAGCAAAACGTAGTTTGGATATAATGTTTTGGACAGACGCATAGCTTTGCTCAACTTATCCATAGACTAAAACCCGAGTCTGTGTAGTTTGAGGTTGGCCAGTATCAAAATCATGTTGAAACTCAATACTTCACCATTACATTGTTATCAGTTCCAATACGATAACTTCAATATATCAACAAATGAATTGCAGATCCCATGCCAATTAGATGCTCAGCTTATGGTTCAACATTATACAGACAAGACAACATACTAAAAGAAGCTACAATTATCAGTTTCAACTTTCAACACATGCAACAATGCAGGTAAAGGGAAAAAGATTCTGCAAGAGGTTGAAGATTCTCATCTTCCTCAATCAACTGATGTTTCACGCTTAAGGCCGGGCTTTAAAGAATTATCCTGACCAACAGAAAGGAAATAAAATGTAATGAAATTGTAGTAAACATATACGCCTCACACCTATCTTAAAGAACTAAACTTCTCACATGCTTGGGTGTACAAGAAACTAACGCATAGATTCCCAAAAGCTGGTCTGGAAAGCCATGTGTTTTATGTTTAGTAATAAGCAACTGAAAAGCATATTCTAAAATGCGAGGACAGGGGAAATTTGTTTCTACCAACCTTTGCACAAACGTAAATATAATGCACATCAGGATTGTTTCCGAGCAATTCCTCCGCTGAGCTTCCATCGTCATTCAATGGAACAGGATTTGTCAGCTCCCATATTGGAGGTTCTGATTTATCTTCACAGGCAAGTTTCTCTGCATACATGGTGACAGAGAGAAAATCAACAGCTATACATAATACACAGACTAATGCCACATAAAAAATTTCATTGCCAAACATAATAAAAAGAAAAGTAAGTTTGACTTAATCAACCTATCACATGGAGTTTTATCGTCCACGAGCATGACTCTCTCAACAAATGCAAACGATACAATGGAGCTCCATATGTGATCTGCAGCAGCATGTTTGAGACTAGTTATGGCCACATGCCAAATGTGAAATGCAAAACCAAAAACCATAAAAAAAAAAATAACAACAACAAAAAGGGGTGGGGGAAGGTGTATTGAAATCATAGGCAGAGAACAAGAGTAAGCAACATTACCAGAATATAGACTCCTTTATCCTTGAGGACCCTATAGTTTGTTATTAACTGCTTCAATATATGGTGAACAAATCAAGAAAATAAACAAAATCAAAAGCTTAGGGTAAATACATTTAACAGCTAATAATTTTAATGTACCTCCAAACTTCGTCAAGCATTTCAGCAGCATTTTGTCGCGAATTACTTCCACACTAGGCACAACAAATCACATAAGCCAAAAGAAAAAAGAAGCAGCAAGAACACACTACAGAAATTAGTAACACTCACTCACCAACAGAGAGTCTAGAGTTCCTGAAAAAAAAAAAATCATATCATGAAGCAAAATCAGCATTTATTTCACAAAAACAAAGTTTCAAATATGTGTGCAATCCAGATCTTAAAAATGAAGCACCTTTGTCAACAACAGCATCAAAGGAATCAGTTTGGAAAGCACTCATATCTCGAACATCCATTTGCAAATCTAATAAATTATGTATACAAAAAAATCAGAGCACATTGAGCAAAAATAAATAAATAAGTAGAAAAAAGAGAGCAAATTTTAATAATAAAGGACTTACATTTGAGGTGTGGACGGTCAGAGTACTTGTCCTGCATAGCTTGGATGACCACAGAGGAAATGTCAATACTAACCACATCATCGTATCCATCATCAGCCATCCCTTCGCTGAACGCTGCGTTTTGCAAATGAATTTCTCTTGAGCGATCAAACAGCGGGAGATCTGATCAGGTAAGTGCGGATGCAGGGAAAAGGCAGAGCTTACCTGAGTTGCCGCAACCGACGACGAGGATGCGATGGTGCTGGTTGGAGTGGCGGGGGACGTAGAGATTGATGAGCGGCGCCAAAGATTGGTACTTCTGGTACCAATCGAACGGCCCTGATTCGTTGGCGTAGCGGTTGTCCCAGTACCACGGCTCACCGTACGCCTGCGTCGTCGTCGTCCCCATCGTCATCTCTCTCGCTCTCTCTCAGTCTCAGACTCTCACACTGTCTCGTTTGCTCGTCGGTTTCTTTTTTGGTTTGTCGTTGATGTCGTTGATGAGGGATGGGTATTACCGTCAGTTTGGTTCAGGAAACTTCTTGAGCTGCCACGTGTTGGCGGGTGAGAGGATGGAAATGTGGAATGAAACTAAAGCCCAACGACGTCGTTTTAGCTGGTCGTCTTCTTCTTCAAAGTGTTGTTGATCTGCGTTTTGGGGACGAATTTGAGCGAGATGGATGCAATCAGCCAATTACAAGAGAAAGTGAATACAATCGCGACAATCGCGTTCACTACCATCGGAACGCTGCAGAGGGATGCGCCGCCGGTCCGAATCTCTCCGAATTACCCAGAAGCCGGATCTGGGCCGACTCCGGCTCCGAATCCGAACCCGACCCCGACCCCGGCAGCGGACAGTGACGCGGATTTCGCGAAGCAACCCAAGCTGATGAGTGCTGAGCTAGTGAAGGCAGCTAAGCAGGTCTTCAATCACTCGATGACGTGGCAGCTAATTTATTTTTTATGAATTAATTTTAGTTTGAATAATTTCGTGGTTTACATACACTTTACTTTGTGTAGTTTGATGCATTGGTGGCGGCACTTCCGTTGTCTGAGGGGGGAGAGGAAGCTCAGCTGAAGAGGATTGCACAACTTGAGGCTGAAAATGATGCTGTGGGCCAACAACTTGAGAAGCAACTGGAAGCTGCAGGTGATGAGTCTTTTCATTTGGTCACATTTCACAGAATTTTCAGTTTTCTTCAGTTTTAATGATATTATTAGTTGATTGTTTTTAGGGTCTACAAAATTGTCATTTAGAACTTGAACTTTAGGTTTATAGTCTCGGATTGGTTAATCGCTTCGGTTTTAGGTTTTAGGTCTTAGAACCTAAAATCGAAACTCGACGATTCTATGTCGACAGAATGTCGAATTTCTGAAAAGGTATATATGAGGATGTAAAACCAGGGTTAGATAGATATTTGAATCACTATGTCAATGTGGTTTTGATGGTGGCAGAGAGAGAATTGCAAGAGGTCAGAGAGTTGTTTGGACAAGCAGCAGATCACTGTTTGAACTTGAAGAAACCAGAATGAAGAGCCTAGTGCAAGCAGCAGTTATTGACGTACATGTTAATGGTGTAAGTTTGATTAGGAAGATGTAATTTTGACTGGAAGAAGGGCCAGAATTTCAAATATAACTGACGGTATTTAGAAACCACCTTTTATTTGTGGGCAAATGCTTTGATTCTCAGGAGGATAGAGCTCAACCACCTTCACTCACACCCGCTACCGGGACTCTATATGCTTAAATTTTAGGCTTATTTGTTGAAATATGCCATGTGATTTCCAAATCGTCTCAGTTTGCCCCCTGAAGTTTTAAATGACTCAGTCTCCCCCTTGAACTTCCATTCCATGATCAAGGTTGCTCCTAGTTTTCAGGTAAAAATCGTTACATCAGCTGACATGGCATGAATATTTTGGTAATTTTAACTATTAAATATTAAAAATGTTTGAAATTATTCAAAGTAAAACACGTAAAATAATAAAATAACAACAACAAAAAAAATAACACAGCCCCAAAGTTCCGCATCGTCTTCTTTGGCTCCATCGCACCAGCACCCGACTGTACACCCCAACCACGTCAGCAGCCGCCCACAACCACCAACACTTACCCCTGCCTTGTGAGATCCAGTTGCCCCACCCTCCATCAAAACCTCAACCTTTAAAATTACTCATGCCACATCAGCGGAATTAACGATTTCTTTTTCTTCCGAAAACTAACGGAATGGAGGCAACTTTAGTCACATAATGAAGTTCAGGGGGGAGATTGAGTCATTTGAAACGTCAGGACAAACTGAGACAATTTGGAAACCACGTGGGGTATTTCAACAAATAAGTCTAAATTTTATGATACAGGAGATGGTGCATATGTGATGATAGCAAACCTCAATTGCAAATGGGAGCTTGAAATGAATGCAGCGCAAGTGGTAATTGTGCTTCATGTATTTAGAATTTAGAATTTAGACCCTGCCGAAGGATTTAGGCATGGCCTAGTCACTCCCATTGGCATAAAATTGCCATCTTTGAACGGATTAATTCGGCCTAGAAGCTTGGATAAAAATAGAATATTGTAAAACTATCAAGTTTTCAAATTTCAATAATGGACACTTGACATAGTAGCGTGTTAGCTCTCTCCGAAAGGATGAGAAACCCATACGCTTCGGAGTGGTATTTACCCTAAAGTGCTATCATCTATCTTTTCCTTTGTCCTACTTACACCGTTAATGAATCTGTGAACTTGCAATTGTTGTGGTGCTATCAAATCATAGCAAGACTGTTTTCTTTGTTCTGCGTTCTTTTCAGATTGAAAATCCAAAGCTCTTTCCTTTTCTTTAGTAGTCAAGGGCGGAATCTTTTTCCATCTTCCTTCTCTTTTGCCTTTCAATTCAAATCATCACATCAGATCAGAGAAGGGGCCTACGCGAATGACCACTATGGAAGATGACGCAACATGACTCGTCATACAGCTTGAAGACAATCTTGGGGTGGGGGAGCTGCGCAACGGAATCCCTCTCATTGGTGTTCTTATTGCTGACAAACTCCCTAACCGAGGTGCAGTCAAGGGGATTTTGAGGAAAGCCTGGGAGCCGTTTGGGGAGGTTAAAATCTCGGTGGTGAAGGACAACTTGCTCGCTATAACAGTGGAATTGGAAGATATGGCTGGGAGGATATTGGAGCGAGGCCCCTGGGCTGTTATGGGGTACGCTCTCAGTACTCACCCTTGGGAGGAAGGGACGGCTATTTACACAAATTTTTTTCAAAAAAATGGAGTATAGCCGGAGGGTATACTATTAAATTATATTTAAAGCTTATAGCCGTGCGGCTATACTGGTTAAATTTTTTTAAATAAACTTCAGTATAGCTGCACAGCTATGCTATTTCATTATAATCTATATATATAAGCAAAAGGTAGAGAATGGTGAAATATTCAAAATTTCAGAAAATGCCCTTAGTTAATGCAAATATTAAGAATTGAAATTATTAATTAAATGGGGTTAATATGGTAAATTCACAATTTTTCATATTAAAAAAATTAAAATTAAAAGAAAAATCAGATCATGGATTCTATTTTTATGGAACACAACTACCCTCGATCTTTTTTAATTCTAAAATAAATTTTAATTTTAAAAAAAATAAAAATAAAAATAAAAAGCTTTTCGCAGGCGTGGAAGCGCGTGTAAAGAGGCTAGTAGTATTTTATACATAGAGAGATGCATTCATTTATTAAAGACATGTAGAGAAACATTTTGTATTTGATATTGCACATAGGATTTTAGGACATAGCATGCTTTTGCTTATGCTTTACTTTTCAAACAGCAGTTTACATGAAGAATACAATCTTACTACTATTCCCAGAAATCTTAGTTTGAAATTGAAAATTAAAAAAAAAAAAAAAAACTTGTATTAGACATGAAACATATGTTTTTTTTTTTTTTTAAAACATGTATTTTCTAAAGTATTCTTATCGATAAACGAAATCCAAATTTATAAAAAAATAAATAAAGAACCCAGTATAGCCGCACGGTTATACTATATAATTTAAAAAACTTTAAAAACTCAAGTATAGCCGGCCGGCGAAAGTATAGCCGTGCGGCTATACTATTTAATTCAGAGAGCATGACTTTATCCGGCACGCCAATATCTATTTCCCTATCAAATCTTCCAAACCTTCTATGAGCTGGATCAATGTTATTGATTTGGGGGCTTCACAACAATTGCTTTGAAAAGCTAAGGCTGCCTTAGGGGTAACTCATCCAATTCGGGAATCTGAGCCATTTGTTTCCTAACTCAACTAACATCATCATAGCCAACCTCATTAAATAAGCTTTCCTAATCGAACCCACCAACAACCCCACCCAAACCAAATCAGACAACCACCATCCAATCGAACCCACCAAAGAACGGCAAATCCGAGAGGGAACCAAAAAACGGGAGAGAGAGAGGAGCCAGAAAGCTTTTGGGGGCGGCCAGAGGGTGTGGGGGTGGCGGGGCGGCACTGGGTGCTTTGGGGATGGTGGTAACCAGAGAGGGAAGAGGGGGGGAGATGGAGGTGAGGAAGAAAGGGAAAGGTGCTTGTGAACCTTAAAAAAAATTTAAAATATGTAAAATATGTTTTTACATTTAATTTGGATTTTAAAGTTTTTTAATAGCTAAAATTAATAAAATGCCCATGCCACGTCCGCACACTTTACGGTTTTGTAGATGTAAATGGACGAAAGTGGTAAAGTGAGACAATTTCAGCAATTTAAAGAGATTTAAAGGGTTAAATAAGAAAATTTTAGTTCCAATGGGTAAAATGAGACTGAGCGCCTGTTACACGGGTAAAACATTAATTAAGCAAATATAAATTAAAGAGTATAGCTGGCTGTACTTCTTATTAAAAAAATTTAAATAAACTTCAGTATCGCCGCATGACTATAGTATTTAATTATAATAGTATTTTATACGTAGAGAGATGCATTCATCTGTTAAGGACATGTAGAGAAACATTTTGTATTTGATACGACACATAGAATTTTAGGACATGACATACAACATACTTTTGCTTATGCTTCACTTTTCAAACAACACTTTACATGAAAAATACTATATTTTCTCTTAAAACTATTATCATAAATCTTTCTTTGAAATTGAAAATTTTGTAAAAAAAATACGTGTATTAGACATGAAACATACGTTCATACATGTATTGTATGTTTGCGTTTTATTAAACGTGTATTTTTTAAAGTATTCTTATTGATAAATGAAATTTAATTAAATAAAATAATAAAATAAAGAACCCAGTATAGCCGCACGGCTAGATTATTTCTAGAATAACTGAAGTATAGCCATGCGCCTATTCTATTTAATTATATTATAATTAAAGTGTATAGCCACGTGGATATACTATTTATTTATTTTTTTTAAAAAAAGAATCGTAGTATAGCCGCACGGCTATACTATGCAGTACAAAAACTTGTAAAAAACTGAAGTATCGCCGTGGGGCTATACTGTTTAATTATATTAGTATTCCCACACGGCTATACTTCTGATTAAAAACATTTAAATAAACTTCAGTATAGCTGTGCAGACATACTATTTAATTATAATAGTATTTTATACGTAGAGGAATGCATTCATTTGTTAAAAACATGTAGAGAAGAATTTTGTATTTGATACGGCACATAGGATTTTAGGACATGGCATGCTTTTGCTTCATATCACCATGGTGAGTAATTTGTTAACTTCAACCTGATTACAATAACTATGCAAAGGGCTCCATTTAGGTTCAAAAGAAAGATATACTACATTGATCCCATAAGTCAATCTCCCCATTTTTATATACAGACATAAAAAAAGCACTCTTTCTACAATGTGCTGATGAACTTTCATGCAACAGTCTTCAAAGACCTATTGTTGGTTAGAATCCTAAAAGGTGTACCGAGTTTGAAGTACAAATTCCCTTCACCCAATAATCATATGCAAGAGCAACTCATACACCTCTTTCACTTGAATGAACTTTATCAAACAAAACAATTTCTTGTTTGCTAAATGTTAGTTCCAAAACGCACTAATCATCATGCTAGCACTCATTTTTCAAATCCAATGTGTATCCCACTCTTATAACTGGTCCTCCATTTGGAGGAATCTCTTGACTTTTCGAGTATCAATAATGGGTTCCAGCTGGTGGGGTGTATTATTGCGTCGAAAATTCCTAATCTTGGGGCAATAAAGAACATCCTTCGGAAGGCCTGGGCGCCTTTTGGTGAGGTCAAAATTGCACATGTAAAGGATAATATCTTCTCAATTGTGGCTCCAGAGGAAGCCACAGCTCTTCAGATAGTGGAGAATAGCCCGTGGTCCGTAATGAGACACTGTTTCTCGGTCCAACCTTGGCCACAGGACATGGCAATGGAGGAGCTTCCATCCCATATGGTGCAGTACTGGGTGCAAGCGCACGGGTTGCCTTTCAATCTGATGAACAGAGAGTGTGCAAGGAAAATAGGAGGCAAAATTGGGGACGTGGTAACCCTCGAGGATAAGGGGGGTAGCCGGGGATATCTGCGGTTCAGGGTTGAATTAGACTCTCGAAATCCTTTGGTGAAAGGGTTTTGGCTACCCCGCAGAGATGGCACAACAACATGGGTTGAACTTTGCTATGAAAAGTTAGGCGATTTTTGCTATGGGTGTGGGAGAC